AGGCCTATATCATGTAAAATTCATGTTTTTATACTTTTATCTATAAGAATGCAATGCGTTTATCCATTTTTCTTGATTCATGCATCTCTGGGTGATCCTCTGGGAGTCCTGCCGTCTGAGCATCTTTCTTTCTGCCCAATCAGTGTTGAACTGAAGCATTACTGACTCTGAAACAATCAGTCCCAAAAGTATGAGGTTTGGCCTCGTCTAACGATCACTGTGTGAAAGAAACTTTCCCCAAATGACAGTTTTTTTCGCCTCGCTGTCACTAATCCCTTCAGTGGACAAATCGTATGAATGTAGAGAATTTCAAACACGTCTTGTTTTCTATGATGTCCAAACGATTCACTTTTTGACTCACCTGATCAGAGAACGTTATTCTATCCAATAGGTCCTGGTGTTGCTTTGGGTTCTAAACCTTTAGTCTGGCCTTGAAGGGCCTACAACCTGCAAAAAAAAACCTTTTTATACTTTTAACTGTTTTAATGCTATTCATCAAAACCATTCAGAGTGGTAGTTTGCTTGATTCATGCATCTCTGAGCAATCCTGTTGAGTTTTGTTCTGCCCTTACATCTGTGGAATTCCCTCCCTGACACCTTGAGGGCCCCTCAGTCCACTGAGTGTTTTAAAAAAGGCCTTAAAACATTTCTTTTTAGCAAAACTTTTGGTCCCCCTTAGATGTTTCTTTTTTCTCTTTTAAAACAGCTTTTATTATTTTATTTTATTTCTTTTATCTCTATGTATTTCTTTTTTAATGTTTTTTTAAATGCTTTTTTGTAGCAATTTGAGGCCTTTTTGGTGAAAAGTGCATTATAAATTAAATTAATTATTATTAATATTATTATTTTGTGAAATGAGTGGTTGCAGAAAATGGAAGCAGCCGCTCAGTCACGCTGTGCCCACGCTGTAAACAAATGCCCCGTTCTTCTCTGATCAGGGAGAGGGGATGTGAGGCAGAGCAACTTTTTATGTCATTGAAATTTCGTTTTGTTCAGCTCTCATGACGTTCCATTTCTTAAAGTTCAGCAGTGATCAAATGTAAACAGTGTGGGTGCAAAGTTAAGAGGAAGTGGCTCTTTTAACAGCTAATCTGCAGAGGAGACAGCCGCCGCTCTGTTTAGCTAACTGTTTAAGCTAGGAAAGCTGCTTATTGGC